TCATTATTGTGCCTTAAGGCATTTTTGTAATCCTTAGTGCTTGGGCTTTGATAGCTAATACTCTTAGTTTGCTTAGTTACCTCTTAGTTATCTGCCTAAAACATAGACCAGATTGTTTTTATGTATATACAGTACAATTTACAATTTTAAAATATCTTTCCAAAATAATGGACAGTGTCTAAGATATATGAATTAAAATAATTGATTTTAAAACATATGGTAGGAAAAATGGCATCTTGTTGTTTCAACTGTTTCTGTTCTTCATTGTTGCTCTTGTAGTTAGAATACCAATGATGTGTCATACAAAATTAAATATTTGCACAGATTTCAAAGAGCAACATTTTGTTTCATGGTTGACTAGCAGTGATAGTCACTGACTATGTCATCAGTATTATTAACAATATGGTATATCTTTCATAAGTATGTGTTTTATTCTCATACTAAATAGTTGATTCTCAATGTTAATGTTACTAATATCCTTTTAGTGCGCAGCTTTAAATAACATAATATCTGTACAACTGAGGTGTTTGCAAATCCAGTCTTAATGGTATTGATTTAACGTTCCTGGCAGACTTTAAAACACTGTATATTAAAGGAACAAGTAAACGTTTATTCCATTCTGAAAAGAGAAGAAAAAAAACACAATGTTTCGGCTGTGGAGCCTTCTTCTGGACTTTACATGAAGAAGACTCCACAGCTGAAACACTGTTTTCTTTCTTCTCTTTTCAACATGGAATAAACCTTTACTTGTTCCTTTGCAGCCTACGCATGCAGACCCAGCAACCTACAGTAGCAACCTACAGAATGAGGTATGCTTTTACAATACAATTTAGACAATAGTTCTCTCTTCTATTTATATTTTCTTTATTGCCTCTAAAATGTCCTTTTTATAAATCAATATTTGATTTGCAGTATGTCTGACAAATTGTAATAACACTTACAAACAAGATGCCATTCACCCCTACCTTTTGCTTCAGGTAATTGATTGAAGGAAAAATTTTGCCTGCTCTTAAAGGAAACCAGAATAGCAGTGTGAACAGTTAATGGGGAGATTTTTGTACCCCATTTGTACCTTTGTGTAAAGAAGTACCTCATGTTGTCAAGTTTAAATACGCAAACATGAAGTTCATTTCCTCTAGTAGGTGTTTTACTGTTAATGCTAATTAACATGAAATGGACAATAACTTCGAGGGTTTTGAATATTTGAATCAGTATCAGTGAATCTCTGCATAAGTCTGAAGGTGTTCAGGTCTTTCCATTTGTTACTGTGGAACCTTCCTTAAAGTCCAGAAATGTGTCTGGTTTCTCTTCTCTGAACTGTTTATGGAGCAGTAGTATCTTTTATTTATTCTTCTTTTCTAAGTGACCAACATTGTACACAATATTCTAAAATAAGTCTTACTTAACCTCCCTGGTTTAATCTCTGTACCTTTGACTATAAATACTAACATTCTGTTTGATTACTGGACTCCTACATTATGTGAAAAATGATGTGTGAACACAAAAACCAAGTCTTTCTCATAAGTAATCTCCTGAAGCTCAGTGTCTTCTATACTAAAAAATACACAAAAAAAAAACTTTCTGATATTTCTAATTTGTCTACAAAATTCAGCTTTGAGGTAAGAAATATGGCAAAGAAAATAGATGTATGAGTTTTACGCACTGCTCGTTATTTTGACTCAAGATACCTGGACATACTGTACTCAAGGACTATAACAAAGTCAATTAATGTTCATTTTCTTTCTTTATTTTTTTTACATAACAAGATAGTCCAATAAACACCCTGAACATGAACAACATGTCCTTAGATTATACATGCTAACATAGAAAGCTGCCTGTGCAAAAACTTTTAATTTAAATTAAATTTTAAATTAAATTAAATCATAACTAGTCACAAAGCAGGCACACATTAGTTAAAAGATGTAGTGATTGAAATCTGTCCTGCAGGCTAACGTTTGTAATATAATAACAACACTTAATGTCCATATTAATCTAGGGCAATTGTGTAATTGAGACAAATACATTTAATGGCTGTTTTTGTATTATAGCAAAGGCCATGTTTGGATGTATTAAAAGTTCATCTAGACACCCCAAACACAGTTTTTCTTTAAACTTTTTAATCACTGTGATATATTAAAGCATTTCTTCATATCTAGACAGGGAAATTAACATCAAATAAAAGTCATAAGCAGAAATTACTTTCCTACTTTAAGAAGCAAACTATTTAAATTCTGTATAATGCTAAAAGCAACAATATTAACATTTTACTTTTCTGAAAAAAAAGAATAACAGTATAAATCCAATGTAATACACCACTGTGAATTGACATTTTACTATGTGAAAGAAATAAAGCATCAAATTGCAGACATGTGCAATTTCCATTCAAGATGTTAATACAAATATATCATATAAAGGCGCAGTTTTAAGACAGGTTTAATGATAACTTACTATACATAATTCCCCTGGTTACATATTATAAAAATCACATCCAATACATGAGGAATATACAATAAATAAGAGTGATATTGTGTATTTCCAAATTAATCACAAAATTGATAACCAGGAAGAAGTTAGAAACTGCATTTCTTGCCAGAAACTTTTACAGAAATTAGGTGAAAAATATTATTCTAGATATTATATGCAGAACAGAGAGAAATTAAGTAACATGTACATTGACAGGAATATTGAGGGGACAAAAAGAGTCAAACTCAAGGCACTTCACAGTACAGAAAAATAGACATTCACAACCAGATAATAGAGTTAAGAAACAGATTTCATTAGTTTTATTTATCTGCCTAACAGATGCCCTAAATCTTTCAAAGAGAATCACAAAGCATTCAGTTCCTTTCTTGACTTGGCCTTCCTCAGTTTGATTCTTTTTTTTTGTCTGGGAGTAGGGGAGTAGTTCAGATTACAAATCCTGAGCATTTGGCAAACAACTGCAGGAAATTCTGAGGCACTTTTGAGTGCAGTACATGAATCTCAAAAAGAACGAATTACAATCTGTTGAAGCCTTTAGGCAGTCAAGAGCTGTGTTGTGTTAGTCCAAAATTTCAAATAGTTTAAGAGTACAAATATGCTTAGTCTGTTTTTACAAGGATGTACCTGTGAGAAAATCATTTCCATTTACAGTATAACCATCACCTTGACCTATTACAGATTTCACCCTAAAACATTAGCCTAAAGCCAGGAGAGCACTCAAGTCTTATGTCTAACAACTTAAAGAAATGTTCAAAATGCATCAATTCATCAATTAAGAGCCTCAATTAGACTAGCGTCCTATTGTCTGTGTAATGACCCTACTCATTTATCCACCTATATTTATTTTAAATTCATGTATTACGACATGATTGAAAACGCTCAATTTTGAGAAAATCTCTGTAAATTTATAGATATAGAGACCATATATTGGAGAACCTTCTCTATGACTTCGCTATTTTAAAGGACAGAGCACTTTTCTGCATGCTCAGTGCAAAAATAAACAGCTGTGTTAGACTTTCCAACAACACTGCACTACCTCTTATAAGCACCACAACGTACAACTGGTACAAAATGCATAATATTCATAAGAACGCATAACCAAAAATCATTCTTACGTATAATTCTTATGGTAACATTTTAGCATTAAATTTAAACATCTGTTGAGTTTAGGATTTACTTAAATGTATTAAAATAAACTGTAGTTAATTTTCTCCATGAAACAATATCTCAAGGATACAATTATTGCAAATAAAAGATTATATGACCCTCTTCTTTTCTCTTTAATGTATTTTCTTGATTTTATGCCCAATCTCTGTTTTTTAGCATTGATAATGAACATGAAATGACCTCACTCCAGCCCACTTATTTTAATTCACAATGGCAGAACACTTCATCCAGCAATGCATGTAAAAATATACAGTATGCTTTCATGTGATAAGAATGCTCTGTTAATGTACATTCATTTATGACATACTATTAGAGTATTTGTAACATAATATTTGCCAGTTGTGGTTTTTGCTCTGTTAAAAAAATCTTTAAAATATTTTATTCCTCTTAGCTTAATGTATCTCAGTACCCTAGAGCATTGTTAAATGATGCAAACTTAATTTGTATAATAAAAATGTCAAATTAAGTTCAGCACAAAAACGGTAATTATGAAAATTACTGTTTATTTACCGTCAATTATGAAAAGCCAGAAATGGACTAATCTTGACATACAGTAAGAAGGATTTGGACATCTTCGTAGATATAAAGGAGGTTTCTGTTGCCTTAGTATTCTCTAAATGATCTTTTCTCATCCCAAAAGAGACAATTGTTAAGTGTAGTGTCTTTTAAACTACAGAATGTGATAAAAATATGATTTACTTTGTTTTTCCAAACTGTTTTTTTTTTCAGAGTAAGATTTGTATTTTTCCTAGTTTTACTAAATCAATGGGTTAAATAAATGAACTTTGCATACAGTGTGAAAACACTTACAGTGCACTACTGTATGTTAATAATAATAATAATTGCTTACACTTATATAGCACTTTTCTGGACACTCCACTCGAAGCACTTTACAGGTAATGGGGACTCCCCTCCACCACCACCAATGTGCAGCATCCAACTGGATGATGTGACGGCAGACATAGTGTGCCAGAACGCTCACCACACATCAGCTATCAGTGGGGAGGAGAGTAATATAATGTAGCCAATTCATAGAGGGGGATTAATTGGAGGCCAGGATTGGTAGGGGTCAATTGGAAATTTGGCCAGGACACTGGGGTTACACCCCCTACTCTTTTCAAGAAGCGCCCTGGGATTTTTAATGACCACAAAAGTCATTTTTACATCTCATCCGAAGGACAGCGCCTGTTTACAGTATAGTGTCCCCATCACTATACTGGGGCATTAGGACCCACATGGACCACAGGGTGAGCACCCCCTACTGGCCCCACTAACACCTCTTCCAGCAGCAACCTTAGTTTTTCCCAGGAGGTCTCCCATCCAGGTACTGACCAGGCTCAGTCCTGCTTATCTTCAGTGGGTTGCCAGTTGTGAGTTGCAGGGTGATATGGCTGCTGGCTATTGCTGGCTGTTGCTGGTGATATGTAATGCAGTACAAATATCGGGAAGCACAAGGCATTCAATTCAATATATTCCATTGGCTCTCCCACACAAAAAGAGGAGGCAGGGAACATAAGAGGCTGCAGAGTGATATGAATGCTAACCAACATGTGGTGGAGTGTTGCTTTGACTGATGATGTGGAAAAAACAAATGGTGCTCTAAGTTTCTGTTTAGGCTTATTTCTAGGTTCTTTATTCTTATACTTAAAAAAATCCAACAGAGAATTTTCAATGTGAAATCACTTTCTTTTCTTTACAAGCTAAACTTTCTTCATGATTTTCCCTTTCCTTTTCATTCTTTATAAACATTTTATATTTTTCACCATAGCCCCACAGGTCTAAATGTATCCAATTGCATTTGACTTAATTGAACATTGATTTTCCTCTCTTTTCCAAATTTACTTCACTTTCTCTCTGATTACGCAAATCTCCATTTAGTTTATGGTGCTGCTTCACAGTCACTTAAAAGTATGTTAAGTTTTCAAGCCATTAAAATTAAAATTGACATTATCCTATAGGGATGCAAGGATTCACAGCACAGTCCAGTGAAGGTTTGAGATAAGTTTAATTGTAAAGAAAATGGCCATTTCCATAGAACACTGAAGGAGACACACACAAGGTGTATTTCCACAGCGCCCTGAACTGCAACAGTGTTACAGAGGGTTTTATAGTCCAAGTCCCGCCATGTTCACTGTTTGCTATTACCATGAATGGGAGTTTTTGAATGAACATTCCCCTTATGGCCTAGTGGCTATTCTTGATGATGTTATCCCACCTCGCAGCTATTTCTGAGATGTCGCATACAACAGCAGGTGTTTACAATTCTCTCAAGCCAGGTCAGGAGTAATGACCCCAGGCCAGAGTCAGATTTCTACAATCCTTTGTCCAAAAAAAAAGAATAAAATGAACATTTTCTTCTTAAAAGTGTACCATGATGCTTTATCTTTCTGAAAAAAAAACATTGTACGACCATGAGCATAACCAGCCTTCAAAACTTAATAGCTGGTGCCTACAAACTCTGGCATTCACATCCCCCACCTGCCATTCACAGCGATACTTCCCGTTTGAGACTGTGTCCATTCAGGAGAGTCGTGGTGGTGGGGGTGTTTTTCTTAATTGAAGTCATTCTGATGGCAGAAGTGCTCTGTAAGTAGCTCGTGGCTCGCTCCCGATACCTCTTCCTCCTGCAGCACAGATGGCTGTTGAAGTGTCTCCGGAAGCTCTCACTGAGCAGGTAGAGAGCGAAAGGGTTGACACAGGAGTTGCAGAAGCTCAGCACTCGAGCCAACAGTGTGATAATCAGGTGGGCCACGGAGGAATCGATCTCTCTGTAGTTGAAGGAGCGGTACATGTAGAGAACGTGATTGGGGAACCAGCACAGGGCAAAAAGACCCACGAACACCAGGACAATTTTGGCAAGACGCTTTCTTGTTTCCATCTTAGAAATAAAAAAGGGGAGAAAAGAGATTTTTTGTTTATTGTTTATCAATCAACACATGAATTATATAACCTGGGCTTCATCCCCTGTCTACTACTATGTTCCTCAGGACTTTCGGCACATCTCTATTAAATGTTTTATAAATTATTTTCTGTTGTTGTTTCTCCTCAAATATTTTCCTTTCAAATTATCTTCTACTGGAGGAAAACCATCTGAAAATGTGTGATAAACAATCAGGAAGAGCACAGGCAGTCAATTTATATTGCACAAGAAACAAGTCAATTGCTGAAGAATTGAAAGATTTAGCTTGTACAACATTGTATACTATATTCCCCTACTTAACCTTTAGTTTGCTATTGCTTTACTAATATAATCTTTTGTGATGCTCTTGTTATCTTGCGTTTCTATATGGCAGATAGCAAAAACCAGAAATGACAACATCAAGCACAGAGTACAGAAATTAGTAAATGATTTTAGCTTGTTTACACAACAGTTTGAATATACAGTACTAAGAAGCATTTAAACCACAGCAAATCAAAGTTCTATTTAACATCTTTCAATTTAGCTGGAGTTTTTCTAGATGTGCTTATCTTATTTTCTTCCTATCTGAAAATAATTACTGTATTATACAATAGTATGCCTGTAGAGGCAAAAGAGCAAATGCTATGGATTGTCTGTCAGTGCAGTGTGGATAATTGTTCAAGAAATGAATAAGTGCATAATAAGTACATATTGCTGTACAGGTTTGTTTTTCTCCGTATGGTTAGGTTTATTCTATTTAAGCTTTAACCTGAGAGCTTTTGTCTTAATACCACAGAGCTGCCTATAGTTAGTTGTTTTGTTCTAGAAAAATCAAACTGGACTTTTGAGAATTGCACTGTGAAATTTAGTTTTTTTTCAGTGTGTTGATGTATTCAGAGCATTTGTTGGGTTTTGACAAATGTTTCTTTAGATTCCATTAAAAGAAGCCTGCCTGCATCACTATAATTCATGCTTGTTTTTTACACTTCATTGATTTATAATAATCCAAATTTATATATGAGTGCTATTTAATATAGTAATCCCATGGTAAGTGTTAATGTTTTTTTTGTTGAATTGTGTGTGAGGCATTGGCTCGTGTTCCAATATTATCATGGCTAGATGTGCATCTTTTTTGTGAAACTCTTATGTACGTTCTGCCTCAAGAAAAGCTCAGTTTTTATCTCTGGATTAAGATGTAAACTGTATCTCAAATAAATAAATACCAGAGATATTTGTAAGTATATTAACCTCAGTTGTTTTAGTTTTAAGTTTGTCCACACTATACAGTTTTCCTGTTCATTCAGTATAATGTTTTAATGTTGTACAATACTGAAAATATTGCTGGAAGTAATGTGAAGCAGTTGGTCTTCTGAAGGATGAATTCATATTTCTTTTTTCAATAGCATATTTGTGCTGGCCTGAGAGGAGCACATGTCTGATTGGCTTCTAATTTAAACAAGCAGAGTTTGGCCGTTTATTAACTCTGATTGGTAAGATTTAAAATAAAATTAAGTTAAAAAAAACATAAGTACATTAAAACCAATGCTTTGAAATTTGTGCTAATGGGGTATGTGAAAGACATCTTTTGCTAACATGCTGCAAAGCCCATAAATATTCAGTCATCATGGCTTGTCAGCATAGTAGAATAATTTATGCAGTGTTCAACTTCAGAATGTTCAAATCTACAGAAAGACACAGGTGATGATGGGCTGATGATATGGCTGTAACAGCCAATACATACAGTACTAATCCAGGACACAAATGCAATTTTTCAGTTTAGATTGAATAAATAGGGCACCTCTTAATATTAACCTTGAACATTTTTGAGCAGTGTATACAGGTATATAAACATAAAAATAGATTTTTCTCTTCTGTTGGCTGATATTTACAATTTTACTTTCATTGAAGAATCTGTGGAAGAAAAGAGACCAAAATTTAAATTTTAAATAAATAATAAAATCAATGCAAGGGTCGTGTTTTTAACACTGCATAGCCACAGAAAACTTAAAAAGACTCATTTCTACACACAAGCTTGAAAAACAGACTTCTAAAAAACTTTTCAATTACATTTAAAAGAATAAGCATTATGCTGTCTTTAGTTACATTAAGACTTTTTTTTGTTTTACTCCAGATGAGCAATGAGCAGGTGGGTTCTCTAATGTTTAATTATGCGTTTTCCTTTTTGAGTATTATTGAAGTGTTGGATACTTTTACAAGAAGACTTGGAGACCATTTCATAAACTACAATATGCCAAGGGTGACATTAATGTTGCATCCTGCCATGCATTATGTAATCTGAGAAAAGGCCAAGGCTACACATCTCCACAATATGGAGAAAGAATAAGGTGAAGCAAATTCTAAATTAGTTCATTGAAAATTCAAGTTTTAACTGCACATTTTATATACAAAATGAAAGTTAAATTTGTCTAGAATATTTTAACTCACGTACACTATATCAAATTCACTAAGGTTCATTATTCATTGACACTTCCTTAAAAATAAAATATGAAATTTTCATTAGCCAAGAAATCTGTTTCATTTATTGTGTGCTTAAAAGAACCTTTACTGTGCAAATAATAAGCTTTATGTTTGACTTTTTGTTACCAGGTTTATCTATGTGAATAATTTCTAATGAAATGGTCACTTTTGGAGGAATAAGTCTCAACTAAACCCTGTTTCTATCCAGGGTGAGGACATAGAGGTGGTGCAGTCCTACAAGTACTTAGGGGTACACCTGGATGATAAGCTGAAGTGGACTGTTCACACTAACGCCCTGTACAAGAAAAGTCGTAGCCGACTCTATTTTCTTAGGAGACTCAGGTCCTTTGGTGTGTGTGGAACACTGCTACACATTTTTTATGAATCAGCGGTGGCAGCGGCCATCTTCTACGCTGTTGTGTGCTGGGGCCACAGCATCATGACAAGAGATGCAAATAGGCTCAATAAACTCATCAAGAAGGCTGGCTCTGTGTTGGGGCTGAGCCTCGACCCCCTGGAGGTGGTGGCTGAGAGGAGAATGCTAACCAAGCTCACAGCCATCATGAACAACACCTCTCATCCACTACATGAGACTGTTAGGAGGCAGCGGAGCACTTTTAGTAACAGACTGCTCCAGCTACGGTGTTCAAGGGAACATTTCCACAGGTCCTTCCTCCCGGCGGCTGTCAGGGTGTATAACACTGCCCTAGGCTAGGACTGTTAGCCCTTCATCTGCTCATCTACAGTATGGACAGCATGTTGCACTATTGTACTTTTTGGACACTCAATCTGTATATACCTATGCGCATTTTGCACATATTTTATTGTTTTACAGTGACTTTAATAAAATAACTCTATTTTATTTTACTTTGTATTGCTGTACTTATTTTATTTTTAGTATATTCTCATGTCTGTTTTTGCTTGTCTTGGGCTGAGCTGCTGTAACACCTCAATTTCCTTTAGAAATCAACAGTCTTATCTATCTAAATCAAAATACACTGCATTGTTTTCAAAAGGAACAGCAGCACTGTAGCTGTAATTTATCAGGTCTAAATTTGTCAGTAACATAAAGAAAATAAATAATCATTCTGTGTAATGTACTGTATATACAGTACAGTACATTATACTGTATATATTATAGATAACTTTGTAGCTTGATATCAGATTCTGATCTATTAATGACACTGTACATATTCACATTTCATATATCTATTTAGACAAATCATGTTAGAATAAATTTATATTCTGTGTGCTGACTTCATTACTTACATAGATGAATATACATATACGGGGTGGTGTGGTGGCTCTGTGCCTGTGGCTGGAAGGTTGCTGGTTCAAATCCTGCAGCTGGTAGAGGAATTCTACTCTGTTAGGCCCCTGAGTTAGGCCCTTAACCCCAACTGCTCTAGGGGTGCTGTATACAGTAAATGGCTGACCCTGTGCCCTGACCCCAAGCTTCTCTCTGTGTCTCATGGTGAGCAAGTTGAGGTATGTGAGAAGACAAATTCTTAATACAAGACATTGTATATGGCCAATAAAGTGATCTTATTTCTATGTAACTATAGCAAAACTATACTTAACCATTGCATTACTACATTGCTTTTTACAAAAACGATTCTATAACTACAGTATGTAGAACTGGACATAATTAAAATATTGTGTTTCTTTATCTAATTAAAAATAAATGTTATTTTTTTGATGTTGTTACCACAATTTTGTACTATTGTTATATGTTAAGGACGTTTATCATCCTTCCTCTCAAAAGAATAATTCTTTGCATTAATATATAGAACCAGTGACCTTTACCCAGAAATCAAAACTGAATTCTGTTTCCCCCAGGCATAGACTAATCAATTTGTTTCACAAAGGTTGTAATACTTCACTATTACAACCTTTACACTTTACACACATTAGAAAACATTGTAAGTCTCCTTTTCAGTTCACATTGACCTGAATTTAATAATTCAAGCCCAGCATGGAGACAAACATATCATATATACTGTACTCAGTATTTCAGACTGTTTTCAAATATGCCATTGCAATTACCTGCAAGCATAATAAACTCTTAAAAACAAAAACAACTTAAAAACCTTACCAGAAAATTTGTGCTTTAATTGTTTACCATTTGAATCTTATTGTGTTGCTAACTTATTTTATGTCTGTATATTTTTCATCAAACGTGTTCTTTGTACAACTTCATAAAGCATTTTTCTCTTAAGATCACTCAATTAAATGTGCATATGCAGTAAAACAAAAAAAATGCTTTTTATGTGATTATACACTTCTCTCATATACAGTACTTACTACTATTCTCTTCACAGCCTGTACTTCTCTAGCATGGTGTTTCCATCAGCTATAAGGCTATACTTAACAGCAGACAACTAAAGATCACAGAACAAAGAAAGTGTTCAAGTGCAATGCATGTTAGCTCACAGAGGGAGAAAAACACATTTTCTGTTAGCTAACATATATTTATGTTTCCTACTGCTCAATAGTTTTACACCAGTTTGAATGATATACTTTTTCACAGAAATAATAAGATATTATTGAAAATGACAACATGCAATGTGTAATTTCTGGATTTTATACACATATATATTTTAGAAAATACACCATATTTTAACTGAAATAAAGGTAATTTCCAAAAATACAGGACTTGTGAGACAAAACCAATTTAAAGTGGGTTTTAAATGTTAGGATAGCATTTCGTCATCCAGGGATACATTGTCTGGGATTCTGTACAAAGCTATTTTGAATTGAGGAAAAGATCTGCACGGGGATAAAATATCCATTGAACACAATTACACTTACAAACTTTCTCTGTTGTTGTGCCTCTGTAACACAGACATGAAAATGGATTCTGATGTTTTTGCTCCCACCCATACTCCAGGATCCAACCTGATGTAATCTTGACCGAGTTTAACCTACATACATGTAGCTGCTTTACTAGCTTCATCGTGAAAATACCGGTAAGATGTAAAGTAACACACTTGCCTTTTTAACCCTCTAAAAAGGTTTTCTATAAGTACCAATTCAAGATATCAGTATGCATATTATACAACTTCCTTCAAAAGGATGTCAATGCCATTCAAGGGTTTCAACAGAATTTAAGGCACTGCTTGAAAATGCAAATTGCAAATGTTTCAAATATTTTTAAACACCAAGTGAGTGTTTCATTGTGGTTGATAATGTATTCTCAGTAGCAGCTATTCAAAATGATGAACTAAAAATAGCTAAATAGACAAAGAAACTCCATTACCTGTCTTTTAGAGTGCTCACTGAATTCTCCTGGCATGTCATGTGCACTCTTGATCAATGTCCTTGCAATGTGGTAATAGTAGATACTGATAATGGCAAGAGGGATAAGGAAATAAACCATAAAAATCATAATAGAGTGGATTTTGGGGTGCATTTCATCGGAGAGAGGATAGGGGACGCAGGCTGTGAAGGTGATATTCTTGTCTTTAATATGCACCACTTGGGAGAAGATGGCTTCTGGTACAGCCAGCAGCACAGATATGATCCATATGGTGATGGCCTTCAAACAGGTCCAGAGCACTGCACTCGATGTTTGGATGTCCATGGGGTTAACTATTGCTTTATACCTGAAAAAAAGGAAGAAAGGTTCTATGAAACATGTTGTTTATATACCATTGTCCCAAGCTGTGTGCTCAACGGTGAACAAAGAGAATTTGATTTTCAGTGAGATGTCCTATCTCAAAGGTAAAATGCTAAAGCTCAAAGCTACTGCAACAAGGTAAAATTTACTCATGTAATGTAAATAATATTTAAGTCCCACATTAAAAGCCTGATTTTGCCTTTGCTTTTGTGAAAGTAATTGTTAAGTTTACACCTTAAAAAAATATTACATGTTTAAAACAGAACAAGACAAAGGAGAAAATAAAAGGCATAATAAATAAATGCACAAAAACTTACCTAATATGCAAAAATGGCAGCACAAAAAAAATAAAGAAAAAATATTTTGTTCTTTTTCAAACTACAGGATTGTGGTTTCTAAGTGAAAAAAACTACAGTTATGTTTTTGCTATACTGTATGTTCAGTTAAAAGCATAACTTGTACATCAGTACCTAATAAAGCATTTAGTAACCTTCCATGAACAATGGTGGTTAATTTCAGGACTGTTTATCTCTCAGAAATGTTTATACGCTCAGAGACATATTTTAAGGTTTAACTCTGAAGTAGTAAAGAGATGTATGGCTTTAGTATCTAACTTGCTTGATTCCTGAAAGCAAATCAAATGAAAAGTTTATCTGATCAAGATTGGATAAGTCCACTGGAAATGTTATTGTAAAGGTTATGTACTGGAGCTAAGATGTAGAAACAAAAAATACCAATATGAAGTACTGTATATCTAGTATTTTCTAACCGCTTCTTCCAATTCAGGATCACGAGGGAGCCGGAACCTATCCCAGCAAGCAAGGGGAGCAAGGCAGGATACACCTTGAATAAGATGCCAGTTCATCACAGGGCAGAAACAAAGACACACGCACACCTAGGAACAAATTCTCCCTGTAGCCAATTAATCTATTCTACTGGTATGTTTTTGGATAGTGGGAGGAAACTGGAGCACACAGAGGAAACCCACGTGAACATGGGTAGAGCACACTGTTATAGGAGATTGGAGGTTTTAATTTCCAGTAACAATAAAAAATTGTAACAGTAAATTATGAGAGTATTTGAAGATAGGAATCGATCATAAATAATACTTTATAATCTCACACACAGATTCTAAATATCCAATATACTGTACAATTTGTTGATATAACCAAAACATGCATAACAAACAACAACATAATAGAATATATACTGATGGAAAAAAGAAACGTAACATGTTCTGCAATGAGAACACTATAGTTATAGCTTATATACTTTCACAAAAAATTGTCAATTTGTTTTAAGCTCTCTGATCAGCAATACAGCTTGTGCAGTGTGGCACTGCAACTTGCTAATCACATGAAAGCTCGTTAGGTGCATTTTTACTCAGCGTGGTTCAGGTGGAACAATGCTTGATCGGGTCACCTTTAAAAAGGCCTTAATTCAAAACTTAGGTCACTGCAAGAAAAAGGCCACACTTAGTTTTCTGTGCATTCCATGATGCCTCAAATGTCACCAGAAGCAAGGGAGAGGGCCACTGGCATGCTGCAGGCAGGCATGTCATGTGCTAGCATTGCCAGACACTATGTAGTAAGCCGCTCCACTGTGTCCCAAATGCAGAGAAGGTTTCAGCAGATCGGCAGGACAGATTACCATCCAAGATCTGTTCGTCCTCGAGTGACCACACCAGAGTGGGACCAACACATCAGACTGGTCTATCTGAGAGATCATTTCAGATCTGCCACCAATACTGCTGCTGAAACTGCCAGCATACACAATTCTCACGTCAGTGACAAGACAGTGAGTCTGCGTGGTGCTGGCCTTAGAGCGAGGTGACCTGTCAAGAGCCCCTCTGCTCACACCTCCTAGATGTCACACCAGACTGGCTTGGGCCAGACAGAGGCTGTGATGGAGCCATCAGCAGTGGCATCAGGTCCTCTTCACGGATGAGTTACTCTTCAGCCTGTTCCACGCAGAAGGGAGGGCCAGAGTGTGGAGGAGGAGGTATTGCATTTCTTTTTTCCATCAGTATATACAGTATCTGTGAAACAATCTGCTGTAAACACAAATGGTGATCGTTCACTTAGGGATTGCAAAGATCAGAGTTAATAACTTCAGAGTGAAAATACACATCGGGCTATACTGTGTTACAGTCTAGTTTGTAGGTGTTGTCTCATTTTGTCTCATATAGTTAAATCTACATCTACTAACATAAACTTAACATCTAACATGCATCGGAATAATTATTCAACTCTCAAGAATTATGTAATTAACAAAATTTTATACTCAAAGATCCGTTGTCCAGTTCACCTTAATTGACTAAGTTTCAACTTCACACTGGTAAAAGCTTGCAGGGTTTCTGTAGCAGCTATGTAGTAAGAGGGAGAGAGATTCTCTTAGTGTTGGACTCAGGCGGCTCAGCCAAATAAGCATCCTGCTGCCTTTGGTCTGTAAAAACAGTCTGTGCACATTTTGTCTTATTGAGGTTTACAAGGTAGACAAAAGGCGAACTCGGTTAATTCCATGCTATAGCTTTGTTCAAAAGATTTCTTGTGTTTCAGGTAGAATATCTTGGGCAGAATTCTGTATTGTGCTGACCCACTCTCTTGGCCTGGCTTCTTGGAATAAAGTTTAAGTCCTGATTTGAACTGCTTTTAGTCATGTGATCGTAAACGTTAGTTGGCCAGTGCAGTGAGAGATTTTCGAGTGAGTTAACCAGAGAAAAGGGACTTGTGTTCCAGTTTATATGGGGCAACACCACCTTTTGGTGACTGGCCAAGTAGCCATCAGGTTTGGTTCTGGTACCCACCCTACAGAGCCCAATTTGGTGTATCTTCCTTTAGTTGATGGATAGTGACTATGACCTATGGGAATGAACCAGCCTGGAGACTAGTTGGAGGGCTATATATCATGAAACATACAGCATGATACGGGTTTATGATGTCTCTTTTAAAAGGGCCTCTTTAGGCGCATTCTTGTGCATTTAGGGAGGGGCACCAGGATGCTTTGTCAAGGCACACAAAGTTTATCCAAAATCTTTAACAACACTAAATTCTAAGTGAAATAATAGGCTTTGTCCCTACACTGTACAAACCCCATGTAGATAGCATCTCAGGTCCACAAATGAACCGAGGACCCCAGCACTGTGAGGCAGCACTGTGCCAACATGTACTGTATGAAGTATTGGTGTCTAAATGAAAAAAACAATCATAACAAGTAAATAAAAGTAAAGATTAACATCATAGAAAGGCTCCTGAATTTTGAAATACTAAGCACAGACAAATGAACAAGCACAGAACAACAGTAGCTAGGTGAGGGGACAAAAAACACACACCATGCCAGATCCTATTTGCAAGATTGAAAACAAAAAGACAGTAAAGTCCAATCTTCATCCAAACTTCAAAACAGAAGAACAATTTCATTTAATCAGAATATCTGCAAGCCATCATTGTGACAAAAGAGATTATGCCCAAAAACATACTACCAAAAAGAAAAACAAATGTCTTACTCCAGTGTTTAACATTAAAGCTGTAGGAGTCAGTAAACTAGGCACCACTTTTCTTCAGCTTCAAGATGAATCTCTCTACCTTATCTACTGTGTCGAACAAATTGTACTAGCCCAGCTGAGGAAGATCTTTTGCTTAGCTAGGTAAAGCAGGAAAGTCTGTACTGCAATCAAGTGTAGGGATTTCAGCTTCAGAGAGAAGCTAGTTCTTTCCCTTCAGTTCTATAACAGTTGAATAATATAGGAAGATATTCTGGCAGTATAGCAAAGGTGTTTGAAGATAAAGGTACATGGTCTCTCTCTTCTTGCCCAAGAACTGTCATAAATCACCAGAACTGTCATAAATTATATGTGCTCTCAAAACTTCAATGGGCCTGGTGATGACCAGCAAAGGTAACCATATCAGTAGAAGCTTTAATAGGGCCATTTCCCTCAGTATCTTCTGACTGGCCAATAATGCATATGTTAGATTAGTCAGTGGCTTCTGTCATCCAATTCAGCCAGATGGGACTTTACTAGGAATAGTCCCTTTCCTTGACACTCTAATGCTGTCTCAGTTCTGCCTCTGCTGTGACCTGGAGGAAATCTATCTGCTTACTTTCCTCTTACATGGATTAGAGAACAGCTGCAATCCTCTCCTCCTTCAACTCCTTCAATTCCTCCTTCAACTGCTGAAAGCATGGTTTCTCTGGATGGGTTTCAGCGTGGTGTAAACATCAGCAAGAGACTGATTTTAAAAGAGTCCCTGTAGCAACCCAAAGTACACTTCTTCAGCAAGAGGAACTGTGCTTCTCCCTGTGGCTCCTAGCAGAAAAGAGGAACATCTACAGCTGTGGCCTACAAGGTAAGGGTTCGTGGATCTCTTACCTGTGTCTTTAGTAGCAACCAGCTCCATGACTAATTACCATTACCATTACTAATTACACTTCTTCAGGCTTGTCTAAACTAGGTTAAGCTGCAAAAATCACCCTAAACTGAACTGTAGAATGAGTTCCTGGTGTGAGACCATGCTATTTATACCACCATCTCAGCTATTAGCCACTAGAATCCCGAGGATTATAGACTTATGAGAAAGATCGATGGTTGTTTTTTAAAAATTGGAACCTACATAAAGTTAGCAAAAGCAGAACACACATTAATCCAGAGTACAATGATAATCCAATCTTTACTTTAATTAGAAGACACAAAATCCTCAAAGCTTCTAACTTTTAACATCTTGATCTACAGTAGATTAAACCACAACTTTTATCTGCAATCATCAAAATTGCTCGTTAAGTAGTGTTCTTAAGTAGAGATTTCTATTTCTACCCAATTGAAACTTTATTAATTATTGTATTGAAAATGCTGTTGTGTGGGAGATTTAGGATTTATTTTACATTCTAACTTTTGAAAAAAATTCTAGGCTGGTATGATTCAGAAGGTCATCAACCTTTACTTGTTCCTTTAAATCAAACCATACCTTGTCACGTCTCTTAGAATTCAAA